TCTGTCATCAAATTTCAAATTGACCAGCCTCGCTGCTTTCTAGAAAATGTATTAAACATTTTTCAATTAATTCTCACATTTAGTTCCAATCACAATTGTTTTTTTTCGGACGTTTTTATATGGAGGCTTCCAGAGCCAGATTTCAGTCCTGACCACCAGTGGAATATCAGAAAATTGGAAAATTTGTTCTAGCAAAAACTGATTTGGAGAACATTTTATATGCCAAAATACTCGCAAGAGCTTCAACTTTCATTTGGCAATCACAGATTTTTGGACGTTTTTAAATGAAGGCTTCCAGAGCCAGATTCCCGTCCTGACCACCAGTGGAATATCAGAAAATTTGTTCTAGCAAAAGCTGATTTGTAGAACATTTTGTATGCCAAAAATACTCGTAAGGGCTTCCACTTTCATTTGGCATTCACAGTTTTTTGGACGTTTTTATATGGAAGCTTCCAGAGTCAGATTCCCGTCTGACCACCAGTGGAATATCAGAAAATTGGAATATTTGTTCTAGCAAAAACTGATTTGGAGAACATTTGGTATGCCAAAATATTCGTAAGGGCTTCCACTTTCATTTGGCGTTCACAGTTTTTGTACGTTTTTATATGGGGCTTCCAGAGCCAGATTTCCGTCCTGACCACCAGTGGAATATCAGAATTTGAAAATGTTGTTGTATCATAAACTGATTTGCGATGTTATGTATGGAATTAATAACTGGGGTATGAAAATTCATTATCGAACAACATTGTTTATTTCATGGACTTTTTCATTCATAATTTTATAAATAAACTAGCTGGCCCAGTCCGCGTTGCCGGCCCGTAGTTTTTGTTTATTATGCATATTTTTAAAAACATAATTATTCACAGATATGACTGATATAAGTGTTCACGTACTGGTCGATTAAAAGTGTTTTAAAATATCTGTACCCATTTATAAGCCGTGGGCTTCAATATTTAAAACGTGTGCTTCAAATGTGTGGATGTGCTATACAAACCTATTAAAAAGTATATATCAATCTTATTCCCATGCAAGGGATCAAATTAATTTTTAGTATGGTAAAAATCGTAGCAAAATTTTCCAGTCAAATGAGAAGTAATTTGGAATTTACTGTATTTTGTACACCTCATATTTGAGGGCTGAATGATTTAAAAATAGGCAAAGTTAATTACTTTTTTAAACCCATTAGAACCTTAGATTGTGCATAAGAGTCCTCATAAGTCCCCCTAACCGTCCTCATAAGTCCCCCGGTCTGTTTGTCCGCCAAAAGGTGGACTTGAGGGGGTACTATTGCATGGAGAAAATTCTAAAATTTGTGAATATGTTGAAATTTTTGTGTAAGATTTTCACCCCCCAAATACACATTTTTAGCCGAATCCTTTGAAATATGGTAAAATCAGGAGGTACCTTTATATGGGCACTACTCCGAAACATCGACCTACATTGAAAACTTTCTTCTACCCCTTATAATCCAAGAAGACAAATAGAGACCAAATCAAAAATATAGCAGAAAAACATAGCATGTCAAACTGAAAAAAATTTCGCGTGATTTAAATAAGTAAAAATAGTTTTACCCACCTCATAATTGAGGGCAGAATGATTTCAGAATAGTCAAATATAATTACTATTTTACACCCATTACCGTAAGATGGGAATTAATTTTATTTGCCATTTAAATTGTAAGTTGGAGACCCTTTAAAGTCCATATTTTTCATAATAGTATAACTCAATGAGGATTCAACAAATATTCGGTCCAGTGCTACTTTCTTATATTTGTAATTTGTTCATGTTTTCACAATTTATTTCATATAGATGTACATTCCAAATATACGTTCGCAACCAATATTCTCTTGGGGGGTAGAATACAAAATTTTCTTTTCTGACCACACATTAGATGTGAAAGTGGACTTGGGGATACTCCAATGTGGGTACTTTACTTAAATAAATTCCTATGTGGCAATCATCTGCATGATGATTCCCTTCCCCAGGGTAGCATAACACAATTTTTTAGCCAAATCAATTGATGAATGTGTTCAAGACCAATATGGGCCCTACTCTGAAAATTTAAAATTTTATGCTAAGAGGTTCTCTACCCCCTTAGACAGAAAGATGCTAAATAAGGGCCAAAAAATAAAAAAGGGACTAAGACCCAAAAAATAGTTTGAATCATACGATGGTTATATAAATATAAAATCGGGTTGTACCCTTATCCGTGAGTTATTATCTATATCATGATCTGCAAAAGCAATTTAAGGTATCTTGAACGTTTGGGAAGAATTTCTGGGAGGATAGAAATCCTTTTCTTACTAAAAGTCCCATTCGCTCTACTATTTTGCACCTTTTATATTTGGTATTTTTCTGATTGTACTCCCAAAGAATTTTGCATTTTGAGCTCTCATTGGACGGATTATTTTCACATGAAAGAGGTATGTTCACGCTTTAAGATGAGCCCCATTAGGCTTTTTCGGTCATTTTTGATTGTTTAAATGTGTTCGCATCTTCCAGCTGAACCACGATATAGGCCCTGGAGTTGAAAGGTAGATGTCAGTTAACATCCTATTTCGCACTTATTTCATTTTTTTGGTGAAAAATTGTATATAGTGAAAAATTATTCTTTATTTTGTTCACAAAAAATCAACTGAATTCAATATGATAATACAAATTGAAAAAAAATGACAAAAAAAGAATAACAAATTGTAAAACTTATTAGCTGATTTTTTACAGCAAATGTTAAAAAGATCCTTACAAAGTTTGTCAATAGAATGTACTATTATTTTAAAATTCGATTCCATTGAAAATTTTTTTTTTTCGATTTTTTCCCGATTTGAGAATTTGTGCAATGAGATCTCTTTTTCGTGAGATTTTAGCGATTTTGAAAAAGTAATTATCTTTTAACTTTGGTGTGACCGCGTTTAATTATTTCGATATCCTCTATTCCGTTTCGCCACCACATAATTCGGTACTACACTTCCATGTAACCCGCCATCAATTTCAGTTCTCAAGAAATCAAGTCAATTAAATAAATTGGTATTAATTCGAATTCAAAAATAAAATATAAAAAACACTACAAATGTACATTAGAAAAAAGTAAGTCAAAATGGAAAAAAATCATGCAAAATAAAACATTACTATTGTACATTTCAAAAGTCAAAATGAAAATGTTAATATATCACATTTTTACGTGTTTTTATACCCTCCACCAAAAAAGGTATGGAGGGTATATTAAGTTCGTCATTCCGTTTGTAACTCATCGAAATAATCATTTTAGACCCAACAAAGTATATATATTCTTGATCAGGCTAAAATTCTAAGACGATTTAGCCCTGTCCGTCCGTCTGTCCGTTTGTCCGTCTGTTGTAATCACGCTACAGTCTAAACGAATTAAGATAGGAAGCTAAAATTTTGCACAGATCTCTCTTTTGTCTGCAGGCAGGTCAAGTTCGAAGATGGGCTATATCGGTCAACGATATCGTATAGCCCCCATATAACGGTACCCCCCGATATTCGGTATTTTGATGATTTTACCCACATTTTTCAACGGAATTGTCTGAAAATCCACACAAGGAGTACCTTGTGGGTACTTTATGCCTCGGCAGAGAATCATCTATATAGGTCCACAATATCGTGTAGCCCCCATATAACGGTACTCCCCTATATTCGGTATTTTGATGATTTTAGCGACTTTTTCCAATTGAATTATCTGAAAATCCATACAAGGAGTTCCTTGTGAGTACTTTACACGCAGACATAGATTTGTCTTTATAGGTCCACAATATCGTATATCCCCCCATATATCGGCACCTTCCTATATTAGATATTTTAAAGATTTTAAAAGAATTTTTATTGGATTTAATTTTTTTGAAAATTTTCTAATTCGTTCCAAATGGTGGAGGGTATTCAAAGTTCGGCCCGGCCGAACTTACTGCTTTTTTACTTGTTTTTTTTTTTTTTTGGATATTATCCTTTTCGGAAAAGAGACAATTCCGAATTTGTATGAATCGTTAAAATCTGTCCAGCGGTTCTTAAGTTATAAGCGTAGTAACTAACACAACTTTCTTTTATATATATAGATTATAATAAATGTGGTACAATATACATTTTTGGGAGAACGAATAGATTTGGAATTCTGAAATTTAGATAAAAGATTACTATTGTTGTTGTTGTAGCAGTAGTACATATATGTGTTTGCGTTCTGCTAATCTAGTTCCAGCTCCAGGTTTAGAAATTCGGCTACTTTAACGGGCTGTAGCCAGAGATCTTCTGGAGTGAGTTGGGTAGGTTTGGCTGTGCAATTAAAGAGGTGTAGCGTATTGTGCGGGCCTGTATCGCACGCCGGGCAGGCGTCACGCACATCTTCATCAATTCGTGCCCAATACGAATTGAGACGACTACACCATCCTGAACATAATTGCGCCAAAACTACCCTGGTTTGTCTAAGCAGCTGACGTTATTCAGCTGCAATGGATGGGGGGTGGACTCCGAGGACGGCATTCACTTTAAAACTGCTAATAGCATCCGCGACTGCATCGGTGTGAATGCCACTCAGACCTGCCTGATAGGCTTCTTGATGTAGAGTTTATCTCTTATAGCGCTGGACCTCCCTCTCTAGATCATGTATGTCCTTCCTGACACGCCTGGGTGGGGGAGATTTATCCACCATATGATGGTTGGGATGACTCTCACGGTAACACCCAAGCAGGTACTGCAACTAAAGCATATGATTATGCTGACGTAAGGGAAGGACTTTCGCCTCCTCATGTAGATGGTCCACTGGTATCATGAGGAGGTACCCTGTCGCAGTTCTCAGGGCAGCGTTCTGGCAGGTCTGGATATGCTTCCACTGCGTAGCACTAGTATTCGCAGACCACACTGGAGCCGCATAGCTGACCACAGACCGACCTATCGCGTTATAAGAGGTCAACAAGGTTTCGTTGTCCGCACCCCAAGAGCTGCCGGCTAGCGCCTTGAGGACCTTGTTCCTACTTTTCATCTTGTCGCAGATAGCTGTGGCTTGCGCGGACGACTTGAACATGCTGTCGAACGTGACCCCAAGAATCTTGGGGTAGTTCGTGGTCGGTATTAGATTCCCCTCGACCTGAACATTCAGCTGTGTTCTCATCTCCGCAGACCATGTGGTGAAGAGTGTGGCCGTTGATTTCGTGGCGGATATTTTCATATTCCTCGCGTGGAAGTATGCGGCAAGCTCTGTGAGATAGGGGTTCAACCTTTCGCATATGTCATCGACAACTGGACCCGACGCCATGATCGTACAATCATCCGCATACGTTACGATCTCAATGCCGTCTGGAGGGCGAAGAATTCCGGAAAGGTAGATGTTAAACAGTTCCGGAGATATCACCCCACATTGGGGAACTCCCTGTTTCACTCTACGGGCTTTGGACTTCTTGTTCCGGAATTCCACGTACGACTGGCGTCCACACATATAGTTGATTATCCAACGTTTCAAACTTGGCCGGAGGGTAGTTCTCTGCACGTCCTCGAACAGTGTGGCATGATTGACCGTATCAAATGCCTTTGATAGGTCAAGGGCTACCAACACTGTTCTGTCACACGGCCTGTTCTGGTTCAGTCCTCAACTAATATGTGTGGAAATGGCGTGTAATGCTGTTGTGGTACTGTGTTGTGGACGAAATCCGTGCTGGTGGTTGGCAACTGTATAGCTTTCTCTAATGCTGGGGAGGAGTAAAGCCTCAAGAGTGTTTGCTACTGGCGACAAAAGCGAAATCGGCCTGTACGATTCGCCTTTACTGGCATCCTTGCCTGGCTTCAGTAAAGGGACCACCCGGCCCATTTTCCAGGTTTCGGGCACTATGTGGGTGGCTATCGACAAATGGAGAACTTTAGTTAAGTACTCGACTCCCGGCGTATCCAGCTGCTTCAACATTACCATTGAGATTCCGTCTGGGCCCAACGCTTTGGATGACTTAGCGTTACGGATGACATTTGCAACATCACCCATCGTAAACTGTGGTGGTTCCTCCTCGGCGGGAAGAGATCTGATACGACGTAATACTCTTCGCTTCGCCCTATCGCTCTCGGGGTGCTCGACAAATTGTCGATTAAAATATTCCGCGCACCTCTTCGGATCAGTCACCGTTACGTCGTTTAAAGTGACTGAGTTCCTATCATCCTTTTTTCGAGGGTTCGAGAGCGACTTAACCGTTACCCACAGCTTACTTATATCGGTTCCAATGTTGCAGCACTTCAGATGGTCTAGCCACTTTTTCCTCTTATGCTCCTGTACCAACCGGTTGACTTCCACTGTCAAATCACTGATTCTAGGATCAGTAGGGTTGGTACGACGGAGATCATCACGCTCGTTTGCTAATCCCGCTGCCTCTGCTGGGAAGTTTGGTCTTATCTCGGGTATTCGACCATCAGGTATATAGCGAGCGGCTGCAGCTTTAATGATGTTTCGGAAAATCCTTTCTGCTACCCGAACATCAGAAGGGTTGGGCAGTTCTCTGAAGCGGGGTTGGTGAATTCTCTGAACTCTGGCCAGTGAGCTTTCCCATGGTTAAGGAACGTGCGGCGTTCAGATGTTATGAAGTCGGGCGACCTGCTTATGGAGACGATTATCGGGAGATGGTCTGAGCCAAGAGAAATGACGGGTTGCCAAGTCACGTCATTTATCAGACCGGGTGACACTATGGTTAAGTCTGGCGAACTGTGACACTTTCCTCTTATTCGGGTGGGGGCATCCTCGTTATCCGTGCAGAATGTGGAGCAGTCAATCTGCTCTGCCAGCGCTGATCCTATTGTCCATTCTAGGACTATTCAGTCCATTCTAGGACTGAAGAATGTAGGTAGTTTGAGAAATTTGTACTTATGTATACTAAATTGTACTACATTTTGTACAATATTTATTTGAATGAACCAATAGAGTTGGAATGCTGAAATTTGGAAGTAAGATTACTATTGCATTCTAGGACTGACAAATATAGGTAGTTTTGGAAATTCGTACTTACGTGTACTTAATGGTTACGTGTACTCAAATCGGTTCCAGTTTTTTTTTCTCTGACGCACAGTTAAAAAAAGTATTAAATCTGAAATTTCGATGTTCTGAGTCACCCTGTACTTTTGGTGAAATTCGATGTTATCGATAGTTAGCAACGTTGCTAACTTCACGCGGATCCTACGTCAAACATGCATCGGTTAATTAACAATCACCCTCAACCACTTGAAGTAATACACGCAGTAAAGCACGAAGTTGGATTTTTATAACTGATATTGTTGAGTTGCACTACATCTATGTACTTGGAAGTTCCCTAATATGAGATTTGATTTCTATAAAATCGTATATGTAAAGATGTTTTGTAATAAATATGAGGAGATGCTGAGTTTTTCTTGTTTTTTTTTTTTTTTTTTTTTTAAAGAAACGTGTGCAAGCGTATGTGTAGCTTGTATGAGCAACCTTGAATTTATACATACTCAGCGACTCAGATTTTGCGTGTCCGAAAAATCAGAAGAATCTTTTCATAAATGGCTTAAATTGAGTTTAGGAGCTATGCTCCGATTGACCTGAAGTTTTTGCCACTTGTAAGTATTTTTAACCTGATTGCGGCGAAGTAATTTTTTTTCGTGGGGAAATACACGTTTATTCGACCCGGAAGTTCGGATTCAAATCCGAGTTTTATCCGATTCTACAAATCATTTGAAAGTTTATGAAAGTATAGGTTATTAAAGACGGCATGCTACATTGTAGCCTTCACTCTGGCCTTTCCAAAATGTTGTCATATAAATTGATACCTCTTGTAGCTCCGAAGATATTAGTGTTGCAAATCATGACATTGAGATTTTGCATCACTTATTTCTTTTCAACTACATAAGATATCAGCACATATTGTACCATTTTGGAAAGGTAGTAGTGTAGGTTAATGGGTCCATTTTCGAGTTTTTAGAGGTTTTTTAAAAAGTACTGGTACCAAAAAATAAAAATTTTCTTACATTACTCCTGACCCAGTTCCAATAACTCCATCATATTACTATTTGTTGGAATGGCATTTCCATAAGCCGGCTGATGGCCGGCTACTTAAAAATGGTTAGATATATGTTAGTGGAGAAAATCTCAATCTCATGATATGCATCACTAATTTCTTTGGAACTACATAACATATATCAGCACAAGTTGTACCATTTTGGAAAGGCAGGAGTGTTGGCTAATCGGGCACAACTATTATATGTATCCAAAGACACACAACATAGTCATCTTCGTTTTTGCCCAAATGAATTTAGACCAACAGCCACCTCTCTCGAGGCGACCATCGGTCTTTTACATTCATTCAAGCAGCCAAGTGGAATAGGCTTACAGCCACCGAGGGAAGCAGTTGTTTGTCTTGCACATCCACAAGACATGGAAGTGCCAGTCTACTAGTAGTGAAAAACATCAAATATGAATGATATCGACACCACACTCAACTAGCCCGTCCATAGCCATCTCACAACACCCAAATTCCGAAAAATAAAATGAAAATAATATATATTTTTCGTCATTTTTCTGTTTATTGCCAGAAAAAAATAAAAAAAATTAAATGTTGAAAAAACATTTCTCTTCATTTAAAATAAATTGCCCGTGATTGCCAGTGAAATGAATCAGAAATTCTTTTTCAAGTATATTAATATTTGAATATTTTATTCGAATATTTGTGAATATTCGATTTTTCAAATACTCATTTTTGCGATTTTGTACGGACCGCACTACATAACTAACTATAGGTATATGTGTCGTCTCATGAAAAAATGACCATGTACCGAAGTCATCGCAACTCATTGGGAGACCACGAACGATGACTAGAAACACCATTTTGGTGGTTGCTAATGATTTGTTCAAGCGATTTCGATGAGTTTTGTGATGAAATAACACTAGAAGGAATATGGATGTCGCAGCAGTCCGTCGACTGGTAGTTTGGTTTGACTACTAGTAGAATGCGACCTGTTGTTGGTTGGTACTATTCTTTCAATAAAGTGGTTTGTGTAGAGCATTCGCGTGTTCTCACCATTAATTCAAATTCAGAAATTCATGGTATTCTTCCTATTGTTATTAACATGCTTCATTAAGTTGAGGCGTTCAAATGCTTGCATGGTAGGAAGCGAGCTCTATCCTATCGGCAGGTCGATGTGTGCAGGCTCGTAGATATAGCACGGAGAGATTTTTGATGGTTTTCGAAAATCTCCACACAAATAAAGGGGCACAAAAACGAAAGTATGAAACTCTTAATTTCATATCAATATCAAGTAAGTTGAAAAACATACTATGCTGCAATGTTTCAAAGTAATTTGAAATAAATTAATAAATAAATAAATAACCACGAAAAAATTACTTTATCTTAATTAGGTTAAAGATACCAACCTGCGGTAAACATTTACAATGATCCGATCATAGCCCCTAAACTCAACTTGCCCCTCATCTATATAAAATGCATTAATAATTCAGGATATCATTCAAATATAAAACCAGTAAGGAAATGGCTAAAATTTGGCGGGGACGATTATATGATATCCTACACCACTATGTATATTTAACAGTTTCAGTGGCAGACTTACGTGTATTTTGCCAGTAGGCATTTTATGTTCGTAAATGAGGCCATGTTGGTTCACGTATTCGGAATTTCAATGATTTAAGCGACATTATTCATCGGAATTGTTTCAAATTTCGTATTTACAAATCTTAATGGGTACTACAGCCTATAACAACAAATAACATATGCAGGCCCATGTCTTTGTGTATCCCCCCATATAACGGTACCTCCCAATATTCATTATTTTTATGATATTGGCGACATTATTCACCGGAATAGTTTCAAATGTCGTATTTGAAGATCTTAATGAGTACTACAGCCTATGACAAATAATAATAATAATACAAATGCAGGTCCACACGTATCCATGTAGCCCCATATTACGTCTTTTTATTTCACGGTATTTTGAATGTTCTGCCACAATTTTCAAACAAATTAGATAAAACTTTACCATTTGTGTTTTAGGTAGATCTGTTCTCTCCTTGCGAAGAATGTTCGATGTTGATCCACTAATTGGTATAGCCCCCAAAATAACTGTACCTCCTGATTTTCGGCATTTTGAAGGTCCCTGCCACAATTTAGATTCAGGTGCAATAATTGAAATGGTTCACATATAACAGTTCCTCCCTAGTTTGAAGATTCTGCCATAATTTCCCACCAAATTAGATGAACTTGACAATTGGGGTTCTCGGTTGATCTGTTCTCTACTTGAGAAGAATTTCCGATTCAGGATCCCTAACTGGTATAGCCTCCATATAACGCTACCTCTCGATTTTCGGTATTTTGAAGGTTCTGCCATAATTTCCCACCAAATTAGATGAAACTTGACAATTGGGGTCAACTAATTGGTGTAGCCTCCATATAACGCTACCTCTCGATTTTCGGTATTTTGAAGGTTCTGCCACAATTTCCCAGCAAATTGTATGAAACTTGATATTTGGGGTTCACGGTTATTTGTTCTCTCCTTGCGAAGAATGTTCGATTCAGGTTCACTAATTGGTATAGCCCCCATATAACGGTACCTCTCGATTTTCTGTATTTTGATGGTTCTGCCACATTTTTTACCAAATTAGATAAAACCTGACAATTGAGATCCTCGGTAGGTCTGTTCTCTCCTTGCGAAGAATGTTCGATTTTGGCCACTAATTGGTATAGGCCCCAAATAACGGTACCTCTCGATTTTCGGTATTTTGAAGGTTCTGCTACAATGTCTCATCAAATCAGATGAAACTTAACAATTAGAGTTCTGTTCTTTCCTTGTGCAAATTTCTCCATTCAGGTCGACTAATTGGTATAGCCTCTAAATAAAAAAAAAATAATTTGAAGGCCTTTGTCACAATTTCGATTCAGGACCACCAATTGGTATAGCCCCCATATAACGATACCTCTCGATTTTAGGTATTTTGAAGGTTATCCCACCAAGTTAGATGAATCTTGGCAATAGGGGTTCTCGGTAGATCTGTTCTCTCCTTGCGAAGAATGATCTATTCAGGTCGACTAATTGGTATAGCGCCTAAATAACGGTTGCTCCCGATTTTCGATATTTTGAGCGCCTCTGCCACAATTTCGATTCAGTTCCACCAATTTGTATAGCCCACTATAACGCCCTTCGAGCCGGATTTAATTAAACCGGTTTAACATTTTCTTTGCAATTATGACAGAAAATGCAATCCTTGATGAATCGGAGCCACATACTCCTTTATAAAATGCCGTCGGCAATAATGCAATTCGCTCCCAAAGAATTACATGATAATATGGTGAATGAGCTGATTAAAGAATTCCACAATCTCAAGGAATACGATGAACTCACTGTCCACCAATTGGAAGTAAAATTGTCCTTTTTGGAACATCGCTTTCATTCATTTGAAGAAATCCAAAGTCAAGTAGACATTTTTGACGAGTCACTGTTTCAGATGAATCATAGATCTGTTTTTGAAGAGGCATATTTCAACATAAAGTCGAAAATTCTTGAAAAGATGTTGAATTTTAAATTAAATGGAACACACCCATCGATGAGCAGCGCACGTTTTTTTTCATCTTCTGGGCTCCAATCAACGCGTCCAATTCTGATCGTTAACGAAATTCCAGTACTTACGTTCTTGCATTTCTGGTGAAGCAGCGAGATTAATTCAGGCGATCGAAATGACACCACAGAAATATGAAGAGGCCCTAAACATACCAAAGTTGAGATGTGATAACAAACGGTTCATATTTCAATCTCACATAGAAAAAATATTTACCATAAAACATTTCGCCAAGCAGAGTGTGTCTGAACTGAGAGACTTCATCGATTCCGTAAGCGATAACATTCGAGCCCTCCAATCAATAGCCTCAAAGGATCAGATAGCGAACGGAATTCTACTTTACCTTATTATGTCTAAGCTGGATGCTGATACCTAAGCAAAATGGGAGGAGGAAATATTTTTGAATTGGGACAACGGGGAAGTCACAAATGGTCTAAAGATTCCAGAGTTGAAGGACCTTTCATCATTTTTGCAACGAAAATGGAAAAGCATGG